TTTACATTTTCCTTCTGACACGATTTGCGAGCGCGGTTTGGGCGGGGTCAACTAACGCTCCCGCGTTATTTTTACAATCTCGTTTCGGTGCCTCCATTGCGACAGCTCTCTCGTGTCTTACAAACTCGTGCGCGCATAAAGAGAGGAAAAAGTTCGACGGGCGGTATCGCGTTACCGGTAGGTAAGGCGCTTTTCTCTTCCTTTTTTTCGCTTTAGAAGGAAGAACGCTCGGCCGAGGGTCTAATAAAATTGAGACACAGCAAGAGTATGATGAGTTGCCCAAAATTCGACCTGACATATAAGCGCTCGGGCTTTGAAGGCTGAGGTAGAAAATACACACAGGGTGTATCCGCCTCTTGTGAATTAAGAATTCCTGCGCTGCTAAAGATGAGAAGATTAAAAATTCTTATGTAGAATGTAACTGGATCAGTGGGCCAAAATTCGCGAAACGATCAGTTTGGAACGAAATATCCAGCGAAAATGTAATTTATTTCCGTTTTCTTAAAAAAAAAATTCTCTCTGAGCACCATTGTAAAAAGAACAGACTCGATTATTGTCATATCTGTAATATTTGTCTACCCCTTGATAAAGTCGATTTAGAAAATCTCGAAGAACGCTCATTAAGTTGTCCGATAGAAATCACTGAGAGACAAATCGCGTGGCGCATTCAACCGTATGCGCCCGATATCACGCTAAATACGGATATATTTAGGTAATATATAGTAATAGCCATTTGATGTGTCCGTGTGATGAGGATCGTCGTTCTGGAATACTTACGGCCGATCGAACGCTAGGCCGAGAGGAGATTCTAATGAGAGCTCGCTCACTCACTCTCGCAAGATAAGCGTCGCGGCTGGGTAGCCCGTAACACGACGCATTCGTCCGTGCATTCCTGTCCGGTTTCCTCCTTTTCTGGTCGCTCCCTGCACCCTTCGACCCCCTCCGCCCCGTTTCGTGCGCCGCAGCATCTACTGCGTCTGCAGTACGGCTCTTCCCCATCCTTCCCGGTCGCACGGGCCTATCTCTCCAGCATTCGTTTCCTCTCTTTGCTCCTTCTTCCTCCTCTCGTCCCTACCTGATCGCCCCCTCTCCCCTTCCTGCTTCTTCTTTTCTCTCCCTCACCTTCTCCTCGCCTCGCCGTCGTCCACCCCCGGCGTCTTTTGTCTTATTATTTTGTCGGCGCGCGCGGCCGGCAGGTATATCTCTCCTTCTACACGGCACTCCTCTCTTCTCTCCTCTCACCGCGATCCCCGCATATAAACATCGCGGCTTTATCTGAACGTTTTATAGCGTTGAGGTCCCCGCCAGCCGAGGGGATCGGCCGGGATCACCCCGAAGAAGGAGGAGAGAGCCGGATCGGTGCCGGGCTCTCTTGTACGAAGCGTGCGCGCGCGCGCGGAGCGAAGATCACGGATTCACGGCCTACGCTTCTTCGACTCCTTCGCGATCTTCTCCGTTCCCTTGTGTGTTCCTTCCTTCGTTCCTGTCCGTCGTCGTTCTCCTCCTGTCCCGCCGCCAATTACAATGTTCGCTTTTGCAAATTTCTGTCTTTGTCTCGCGCTGCCTGGCGCGATCAGCGCCGAATTCGAAGGACCGGGCGCCGTTCTCCAAGGACCCGATGTAATGATAAAGCGTCCTCGCGGCCCCCCTTACAGGACATCGTCGTAAGGAAAAGGAAAAGAAAGGAAACGGCTGAAGTCATTTGCATACTCCGCTCGGGTCTCCTTCCCTTCGTTTCTGTCGTCCTTTCTTTGCTCTTCTTATTGGCTTTTTCCGCATGAAATACTTAAAGTGATCATACATTCCGCTAAAATGGTGGAGAAAGAACGCAGTTTGCTGTTCTTATTTTTTTCAATACGGTTGGTTTAGCGATGCAGCTTCTTACTTTCAAATTGCTTTTAAATCTTATTTTTAAATTGATTTTTACATCAGTGAGATACATGGAACTCTTTGTTGACCATGGGTGATCGCGAATCACCTGCGTATATTGCCAACTGCATATCTCGATCGAGAAAATTAATTCCGTCAAAGCCGCTACGGTTAGACAGCGATTGAGCTGCGGAAATATAATAAATCCGGGATCGGTATCACGGGGACAGATCTTAATAAGTATATTAATAAGCATATATCAAATCACTTATTCGACGGCTATCATATTTTATTACTGCGTAGTTAGCTAGACCAACGATTGGATTTGTCATTGAGAATTATAATTTATTGTAATTACATCAATTCTAATCACTCACCGCTTTTTTTTGTTATTCCTGCGGTTTGCGAAACGATCGCCTGTCAGTCGCCTTGAAAGTTACGGTGATAAACCGATAAGCATGTAAATTCATTCGCACAACGTGTCGCGCATTCGAGGCGAGTCGCGGTCGCCTCGCAAAATTACGATGTGCAACCGGCGCATGCTGTCCGAAATATAAAAAAACTTTACATTGCGCGAGTTATTTGCACGAAGCGTTTTATTATTCCGCGTTGTCGGAGAGCGCGAAATAAATCTAATAATAATGTCGCATTGAGGTATTTATGTATTTTGCGCATCGATGTAGTACTCTTTCTCTTCAGGAACTAATACAGGATATTGAATAAAATCAGCCAACACGTGCAGACGCAACACAAGATTTTGCTTGAAAAATATATTACAGAATATATTGCGGAATGCTTTTTTTTACGCAAGATTCTATATATATACCCAATGACTTGCGTGAAATTGTGCTATCAACGTATAATTCATTTTCATACATATTATCTCAGTTAGATTAACATATCTTTTTAAAGTGTTTCCGTGTTTTTGAAAAATAACTTAAAGTAATTTGCGCGAGTAATTCGCTGTACCGGTTTAATTGAGAATTTAATTATTGTTTGCTCGTTAATTATCTTTGCATTAAAAATTGTTTTGAAGATAACTAGATCAGGATCTCGGTGCTTATAATGTTCGTTTTTATACAACCATAATTTTATCTTTCTTTTTTCTTTTTTTATTATAAATAACGTAAGTAATTTTTTTTATTTTTTGTATTATCACGTATATTAATTTTATTGTCACGCTAACTGATACGTGATTACCGTTGAATATCACACGTTTCAATTTTTCACAGGTCGAAAGAACACTGTTGACACTAGAAAATGTATTCGCGCGTCCAAGAAACGCCATTATTCGCAGACACTGCTCTCAAAGGCTAGGCGTAAAGATGAGAGTATTTGAAGTTTCTTTGATGCACGTATGGTAAACACGGTTATTAGTAATTGTTGTTTGAATGGATGCCAGTTGCACGCTTGTTTGTGTCAGTCGAGATAAGTCTTCCTGCAAGTGATGCGCGACTTCGAATCTATTACGCGTACAAAATCATTTGTTACTTCCGTTTAGAGTTTGAATAAAGTGTCTTTGAGACATGTGCTCGTGCAGCAACTGACTCGAAGTGCGCCGTAACATTCATTAATTGAAAACGATCCAGCACGAGCTCTATTTCACAAGATGCCTTGCGTGCGAACCAACGCTGCGCACTTAGTTAGCCATCTAACAAATTTATTTCTGCCAAGATCGCGATTATATTATATTACGTTTAGAAAGTCGCAATTAGTTTCGCGTTGCTTGGTAAAAAAATTAATTAATTATTCTTCCAGTGAATATACCATGTTTATGAAAAAATGTTACATATTGCACTTGATTATTATTTACTGCCAATTTGCAATCGTTAAAAGCTTAATTTAACATCCGAGATATGCAAAATCAAAGAAACTTTCGCAGCATTTGCGATAATATTTTACGAAATATTATGCATGTGCAATCTTATTCGTAATATAACTTTATCATTGCGTTTATAACACTTAAAAGACGGATAACACGATTTTCTAGTTATTTGCGTTTTTTTTTTTCAACATAAGATATCTCTTTCTATAATAACGGCACATCAGGCGCAGGAGCTTTAAGATCCCTCCAGCTCGTCACAAGTTATGCGTAGCCCGTATGCGAGTAATGTTCGTTGGTAAAACATCGAGATAAGAGCCAATTAGCTTATCAATATAGAAGGTAGAAGAAAAAGAAAAACAATACACGACACACAGCAATTACAGGCCTACGTTGAACGGAAACGAAATCAACAAAAAGATAGGAGAAAACTTACGTAGCTATCACTTTTATCGCAGACTCATAAATAATGCCTAATATAAGCCCAGTTTGCACTCGGTGCATCTTATGCATTATTTAATTCCGTTGTGCAGGATAATTTTTAGCGCAAACAGCGACGAACTGGTTGTCGCAAGGTTCGGTAGAATACGTGCAAACACTCGATATATGTCTCGCTTTCGCGTGACGATTCTCGGGCAGTTCTGCTTCCGATACCTTGCCGTCGCTCCGCTTCGCGACATGAAAGAAGAAGGTGCGCGTGCACGACGTGGCTCTCTCGATCTCCACTAACGATACAAAGGACAAAAAAGCGCGAGAGCGACTGTAAAATTTACGAGGCCTAACTCGCTCTCCGCGATACGCTGCTCATCGGGCGTTTAACGATCGTCGCACAGCGACTACCAACGAGGTTCGACGATATTTACGACGAACGATTTTTCGAACAGCGTATTGTGAGGTAAGGAGTGGGTGTGCATGATGTGTCATCAACCGACGCGTGTAGACTTCCATATAAATAGTATTATATTTCACATTTTGTTACAGTTCAATAAATATCTTTCAAGTTTTATTTACATAGGCGGCGAGGGGACGCGGGGAAGTTAATAAGAGAGAACCTTTAACCGTGGTCGCGATCTTCTTTGACCGAAACTGCAAGACGAACGTGCGTAATCAGTGCGTAGAAAGCTTCATTTGAAAAACATCATGAGAAATGATGATCATGTTAACTCTTTGAATGATAATACTTGCAATTTCAGACTTAAAAATACACGAAGATGTCGAAATAAAAAACATCACATTTAAATTAATTCAGAAAACTGGTAAGGAAAATATTTTTATTGCCACTTGAAATCTGCATTTTAAATAATTATCAGATGCAGATTTAAAAAGTGAAACGCAGAAAATAAAAGTTCGATTGCTTCATTCATTTGATAATAAAATTTTTCTACCACAAGTTAAAGGTTTTCACGCGCACAACGTTGTTGTAACCCGACGTTACATTGCATTGGCCGTGAATGATAATTCTCTGCAACTATCTATAATTAACAAATATTTCGCAGCGACAGTAGAAACGAAATTTGTCCCTAACGTCGAAGTATTTATGGCACTAATCTGATCGTCTGCGTGCAATCACGTATTCACCAAACATCACATATACGCAATTATTCTCGCGAATTGCTTTCGACACACACTAAATATCTTCGGGATACCAGAAACATATATGATCTCTAGAGTAGAGATTTTGTGAAATCCAAGAAAATGCAGATTGAATTCCTCAGATGACTGGCAGTGAGTGCGTTGAAGAACGAGAACTTTTCGTTAAATCGGAACGTGTCCTCCTGCGTCACTAATCTTTAGCCGACGATAATTCACAGTTTTCGCATAATAATTATATGATTAGCGGTTTTTTACTCGCGCCTCGTAGTCAATGATTAAAGTCAGTAAATGCAGGAACATATAACGAGTTTGCGAGATCAATTCACGAATCATAATCGGTTAACAGCGTCAATCACATTACAATTTCTCAAGCGCGCGACTATTCGTTAACAATTCTCTGGTGAGTCTCCACACTTGCTTCGCCGCGTTCTCCAGGCCGCTGGGCGATTTCCCCTTGAAGAGATCGAGATTCGGTAGAAAATAGTGCGGGCATCTGCGGCACTGCAGGCAGGAAATCAGCTGCAGGAAGATGCCGTTTATCCGCTCGGCCAGGCAGCCCTCGTCCCACTCCGCCTCGTGCGGATGCTTCTCGCACTCGTAGAGCAGCAGAGTCTTCATGTGATAGCTGGTAACTGGATTACCCGGCAGATCTAGATGCCGGTCTCTGAGAGTCTTCAGTATGCTGAGGCAACGCTTTCTGCTCGCGCCTTGCAGCAATCGATTCTCCGCGTCGATGAAGGACAACGCCCAGGCGTCGCCTTCCATGGCGGACTGCTTGCCCTGCAGACCTATGCATTCCTTCGACAACATGTCGAAACCTTCCGCCTTCACTTCGGCGACGATGTTCGGATGCGGCCAGGGTATGTGCGCGATCGGCCAATGGGAGGCCGATCTCGGCCAGAGCCCGGCGCACTTGAACGCCGGCGTGATCTGCACGACGTATCGCTCTCTTATCCGCAGCTTCACCTCGGTGGTGTCGGCGATCATCTTAACCGAGTCTCGATATGTGCACTTATCGCACGCCTGCGCCACTAGAGTCTGGAATCGCGAGCGTATCTTTCTAGCCGATAGATAGCCGGACGCGGTGATAAATTCGACCCAGAGAGACATGGACCTTTTGCGCCCGTCACTGAGTTTCAGCACGGCGCAGCCGGGCAGAGTGCCGTCGTCCACGAAGTTCAGCACGCCCATCTGATTCAAGTAGATGACGATCTCGAATTCCGTCGGCGAAATCACGTCGAGGCCGTCGAACCGGCCGTTGTAGTCCGTCAGAGACGAGATAAATCTCGGCTCCTGCACCTCCACTTCTTTCAAAACGTCCTGCACCACTCGGCACACCTCCTGGATCGTCTTCGCCACCTGGCTCTTCCTGGTCATCACCCGCTCGCCGAAATATTTATTGAACTGATAAACCATTCTGGAGTGCGACGAAATCATATCAGGCGGCACCAGCATCGTGGACCGCGCGTAGTGCACGAATGGTCACTGCACGGTCTTCAGCTCCTCATTGCATTCTGACGTTTTCACAAGCTTTCCCACCGCTTTGCGTTGCCATCGAGCTGTCTCGCACGATCTACCGCATTGTGAGAGCACGGACAGGCTTGTCGCTCGTAAATCGACGTGAAATTTTGTTAGATTCACCCTCGGTATCCGGATCGTGTTCGCCAGGACGCGCCGTACGCCGGGGGATACCAACGCAACGAAAAGGCTAGGTATCACGAGCGTCTCCGTCCAGAAGCAGATTGCCGACTGCGCTGTTGTCTACCTCCTCCGCGTCACCCACTCTTCGCGGCAAGCACAAGCATACAAGAACATTGGCACCGCCTCTTCCAACGGATTACGCCTCCCGACAAGATTCCTTGCCCAACCGGTGGTGCCTCGTGCCAGACGGGCGTGGTTAGCTGCGCCAGACCGACAAGATCGATCCGGCACACGAGGCACTCTGGCAGCGTTTGTGTGTAGCGTAGAGGGACGAGGGTAATGCGAGGTAACCCTCGTGGTAGCCCTTCTTCCTCCCCATGAATTATGTAGGAACCGCTCGGTTTATTTCCCATCCGCGAGGGCTCCGGTTCCTCCCCCCCGCAACCCTTTTAGTTATTCCGAAATTTTCGACATGGTGGACCATGGTCGTGTCTGTACTGCCGGATAGAGTTACCTCGAGCTCCTTCGCATCAAGGATATTTTGTTTACAATAGGTCGGCATTGGCACTCAGTGAACTGTAATAATTATCCCTCATTATTGCAGCTAGTTGATTGACATCAGAATCATTGAAAAATGTGGCGCTTTGAAGCATGAATAAACTGATTTGAATATCTGACACGAGACATCGGCTGGAAGAACATTTGATTTTTTTAATTCTTGAATAACTAAACAAATATATTCTTATAGCAATAACTATAAAAAAAAAACTATAAAAAAAATATTATCTTTTACACAATTGCATATTTTAATCATTATCTTAATCGTTTAAGTATTTTTTTTAACAATTCTATAAATTTTTATATTATCAAGCAAATAGTTAAATTAAATTTGTTAGCAGAAGTAGCTATTCGTAATGTTGATGTTGTCCACCGTAAGAATACTACTGATTTTACATGATATAAAATGAAGAAGAAAGCGGGAGGAGTTAAAAAAGATTAAAAAACATTAATATTTTAACGATGAAAATGCTGCAGCTTTTTACAGTGAAGAATGTGTATTAATTTGAGATCTCACAATCAATAACGATCTTTACTGTCCGTGTTAGAGTGCAATAACAATTATTGTACGCATTTGGAAGTAGTCGAATGTGTAGTAAAGCAAGGAAAGTGAATGGCACCGGTTAACGAATGTCAGGAAAGGAAGACGCGAAACGATTATGGATAAAATTAAGATAAGAACGTGATATTCCATGCTGGCGTATAATGAAGATGACAGTCTGTTTTGCTGCTAGCGCGCGCGAATCGTTTCAGAGTTCTATAACTTACACGCTAAGGTACAAATATGGCATAATAATGGTGCAATAAATTTATTATGATTTGATATACTATGAGAAACGTACTCTTGTAAAAGGACGGCAATTTTACGAAAAATCAATTAAGGAAATTATAAAATACACACGCACACGCATTAATTTATCGAATAACGTTACCAAGATGAGTTAAACGTTTCAACTCAAATGCTTGGAAATGGGATGTAATTTCTGGGTAGAATAATTTCATTGATTTTTAATAATAACGTTTAATTAAAGGTGATAAATGCATTTATTCATTATTTACATTCCATATTTCAAATAATGATCCAATTATAAAATAAATATTCTTTAAATAATATAAAAAATATGTATACCACATATATATACATATAACAATGAGCAGTCAAACCACCGTCGGAAGCTTGCTGGTAACCGATTATAAATATCAAATCAATAAGAATAACAAATCACATTATGCTGTAGATGAACATATAATTATAGCAATCGTCAATTGAAATGTATTACATATTTTACATAGGCAAGTAACGCGGATTTAGAATGCTAGAATGGTTCTGTTCCGTTAAAATATATTTTCGATATATAAAAATTCCGTCAAGAGAATTTTATACAGAATATTATTGAACATTCGGAGAAGATTAGATCTTCAGAATTTATTTTTTTATCTTATTGCAATTCTTGTATTTGTCGCTTGATAATTTGAGATGAAATAATTATTATCACACTAAACAATTATACGAGATATTCTATTTTGAGAAAACCAATCGCACACAATCCATATGTATTACGACATGACGCGTTATATTAATTATCGAGATATGCATTTAACATTTAACTAGTCGCGTGGAATATCGTGAGTTCGGCTGACGGAATCTTTATTTCACAGTAATATAAATTGTTTAAGTAAGGCATTGATATATATTAACTTCGAGAGAAACCTTGTAACTTATCGAAATCTAACACGGAACTGTCATGTTGCATTATATTTCACGGCACGTTAAAATATTCAGCTGTCTGTAATATTTTTCTTTCGAATACTCGCGATAAATTTTATTCGATATTTATCTGTGCGGATATTATTGCGCTATTCGCTAATTAATCGTGCATTTTGATTTCCACGCGACTACTTGAACGTTAGAAATAAAAAAACTCTTTTATCTACCGAAGGATCATTATTGCTCGTTGAATCGTGATTGTTACTAAAAGAAACGATTTTCACTTGAAATGGTTTACGTGTCGAGAATCATTTGTAACAATGCACTATCTCTAAGCCCTTGATACAAGCGTGTATTAAGTAATAACAATAACTGCAATATCGTTCGCGTGTAGTATCGGAGAAGCATGTAATACCATGCGGCAGCAACGTTCTGAAAATTCTGTTACACGTATCAACGTGCGATTCCTCGCTCTTCGACTTGTCGCACGTTTTTCCGAAACAGGAAGATGCTAAAGTTTTTCCAGTGCGCGGCTGTTCGTAAGCAATTCCCTCGTGAGTCTCCAGACTTGTTTAGCGGCGTTCTCGAGACCGCTGGGCGATTTTCCCTTGAAGAGATCGAGATTTGGTAGAAAGTAATGCGGACATCTGCGGCACTGTAGACAGGATATCAGCTGCAGGAAAATTCCGTTGATGCGATCGGCCAAGCATCCCTCGTCCCACTCGGTTTCGAGAGGATGTTTCTCGCACTCGTGCAACAGCAGCGTTTTCATGTGATAACTGGTGACCGGATTGCCGGGCAGATCGAGATGCCGGTCCCTCAGGGTCTTCAGTATGCTGAGACACTTTCGGCGACAGCCGCCTTGCAGCAGTCTGGTCTCCGCTTCCGTGAACGACAGCACCCAGGCGTCGCCTTCCATCGCCGATTGTTTACCTTGAAGCGCGACGCTCTCCTTCGATAACAGATCGAAGCCTTCCGTTTTGACCTCCGCCACCAAGTTGGGATGCGGCCAAGGGATGTGCGGTATCGGCCAGTGCGCGGCGGATCGCGGCCACACGCCGGAACACTTGAACGCCGGCGTGATCTGCACGACGTATCGCTCGCGTATACGTAGTTTCACCTCGGTAGTATCGGCGATCATCTTCACGGAGTCTCTATAGTTGCACTTGTCGCAGGCCTGCGCCACGAGGGTCTGAAATCTCGAGCGTATCTTACGGGCGGACAGGTAGCCGGACGCGGTGATGAACTCCACCCAGAGAGACATAGATCTCTTGCGACCGTCGCTGAGCTTCAGCACGGCGCAGCCCGGCAGGGTGCCGTCGTCGACGAAGTTGAAGACGCCCATTTGATTCAGGTAGAGGACCACCTCAAATTCACCCGGCGAAATCACCTCGAGGCCTTCGTAGCGGCCGTTGCACTCGGTCAGCGAGGAGATGAAGCGCGGCTCTTGCACCTCGACTTCTTTCAGCACGTCCTGCACGACCTTGCACACCTCCCGTATAGTTTTTTGTACCTGACCCATGCGAGCCTGCACCCGCTCGGCGTAATACTTGTTCATCTGGTACAGCATCTTCGAAGGGCCGCCCATAATATCTTGTGGAACCAACATCATGACGAGATTGTCCGCTTCCGGCGATCCTGAGGATGTTCTTCCGCCTCAGACGAGCGTCGAGCTTCATTCTCTCATGCGCATATTCACTCGCGGATCAGCATGTCATTAGTATCGTTGTTGTTGTCGTCAATTGTTTTCTCATGCATGATTCCGACGGCGGCCGGACCGATCGCCGATGTCGCCCTTGATTTTCAAGCCCGAGGGGGGTTGGTGCCGCTCAAAAATCGCAAGTTTTAAAAAAAAAGGTCGGAACGGGTTACGGATGAACGAACTGTGCGTGCCTAATCGTGCGGCAGGTGTTATACGTGCAACGAACGTAGCTTGAGGTGTCTCGCGCGCGCGACGACAGAGAGAACGCCGCTGACCACCGGCTGGTTCCGCTGCCGTTGTAGTTGTGTACCCTGTCCCGAAGTCCCGCCTCCCGAGAGAGAGGATCTGCACGTGGAGTGTGCGCGTTGTTACCACGCCTCCGATCGTTCCTCCTCTGTTCCTTCTGCCGCTCGCCGCACCGTCGCTATCGATGGGTAGCGATAAGCCATGCGGGTTACGGAACCCTATGACATTCCGTCACTAGCAATAATTTTCGATTTTTCATGATATTTCTGTCTCACCGCTCTCTGACTTCCGTATAAATTCTCACGAAATTTTATTAGAATTTTTCAGTAAGCTAAAACAAAAATTATGTATCGTTACTTGTAAGCAGGACTCATGATACTTTATGATAATTCTAAAGTGGCAAGAATATTATTTTTAAAAACAAATCGGATTATTTAACATTTCTACTAAGTTTAAAATTTATTTTTTTATCAAATATTATTACATAAAACAACAATTGGGATTGTTAAAGTTTGCAGTTATTTATTCTTTAAATGCAGCTATTAATTCCAGCTTGCATTTCTTGTACACCGATAGTTGAAAAAATTTTGTAAATAGATGAGAGATTTCCATGGTGTCATAATTTCAGTTCCGATCCAAATGAATATATACGATAACGTTTCGTTGAAAGGATCATTTGAATATTGGACACTGGCGTGAAAGTCGGAGAGTGTCGACGCCTTCCGTTTTTGCTCGCACACACGATGCTGCTTCAATTTTGATGGGACACAAACACGTATCGGCAGAGGCAGGTGCGCGCGACGAAAAATAGCTTACAAACACGAGATACTGAAGCCCACCTTTTATACCACTATCGTAAAAACGCACGCCACAGAAATATCCATCGAAGAATACCGATCGACCGAGTAGATACATCAGATATCCAACGCGCAAGATTTCGCCGATTAGAGCCTCCACACTTTCGGCAACCATCACTCTCCACTTGCTAGATTTTTTCAACCCTTTGTGTTAGAACGAAGAGCGAACATCAATATGCACGCAATGATGTTTTTCTCTTTTCATGAATTTAATTAATATTTTTAATATTTTAATTATTACTGAAAAAAACTTTTAAAATACTTTTATCTATTTACGTTCTAATTATCAGGAATTAATTTTATTTTGTCAAATTTTATAAAATACTGAAGACACATGGTAAACACTGGAGAAGCCTTCCACCTTTTTATTCAATTTACTCAATTACAACCCCCGGTCCATCACTGTCCAACTCGTTGTTTATGCTCCGATTGCCAAAGCTGCGGAGCGAAACGGCGAGTTATGCCAGCAAGTCGCGCCGCGTTCAATTCGTGCTTCTCGTTCGTGGATAATCGAATAAAGCTCGGGAATCCAATCTACTCCAAGTTGGAGTGGTAGATTGGTACCCGGCGGTCCCTAGTTCGCTCTCGCTAATACGACTTGATTCATGAGCCGAGCACGTGTGTCGTACTCGCGCTCTCTGTCTCGCTTTTCTCGTTTCTCTTCTCCCATCTTGCGCTCGTGAGCCGAGGGGTCAAACGTTCTGCTACATCAGCCCTCGCATTAAGGCAGAACCTGGGGGCTCCTTCCGCCCTAAATGTGCCTTTCATCATCCCATTCCGACTAATTCGTTTATCATCTGAATTATTTGTACACCAATGTTCTCGCGGCTCGGCTGGAAAATGACGCTTCGCGAAATCATGTTTTAATGCGAAATTATATCTGGAAAAATTTATTAGTATAAAAATGATATTCTTTTCAGAAAAATCAAATCTTATCGAGCTTGCAATCGACGATGGCTCGCTCGGCATTTTATTCTTATCGTGAAAAGAATGAATTCGGGCGATCGATGCATGCCAAAATATTTCATTCGACATTGTACCGTACAAATACAAGAACACTTTTGGTTTCTATTGCGTAGACTCTCGTCCATTGTATAATATTTCTATTGAGAATTGTGGCGCATCTTCTTGGGGCGATCACTTCGGTCTATGCAGACGGCATGTCGAGTCGACCTTGTAAATCAGCTCGGATGAACATCCCCGCGTAATCCCCGAGTAATCCGGGATTCGCTCGTTGAGCTTCGGCAGCCGGTAGAAAGACGGTGGCCGTGGAGTGCGTATTTCACGGTTTCTTTGTCAAATGGCACGGAAAAAAAGGTCTACCCGAATGTCGGGATTTTATCTCGAAGAAATCGCTCCGATTATTACGTAAATCTATCATTTGAGGAAAAAATTGCGGATTTCGAATGATTGAATAGTACAAAATCAATCATTTGGCGTAAAATACGTAAATATTTTTTATGAAATATTATAAAATAATTAGTTTTGGTAGAATTATAAGCTAGTTAGCTTGAACGCTTGAAACTACGCAACGTCGATTAAACGCCGATCGTTTACAGCACAATTATTAATAGCAGCGATGTCGCCTTTAATATCCTAAACATTCACGGACTAGTAGTTTAGACAAGTCGTTGAGCGCGACAGCCGGTCCGCTCGCATCTGTTACCGGAAACTGGTCGCATTATTTGCTGTTTTATGACACGTGGAAAACCCATATAGTGCGGGTTAATTAAATGGAAAAACATCGTCCGCTGTCTATCGAGCGTCATTAGTACAGACAGCTTCGTCGACCCATTGGTCGTCACGTCCTGTTCGTGTTTCGTGCTCGTCAGCGATTTCCTCGTTACGTTCGTTTCGTCAGATCTACATTGAGCTTCCGAAAGATTTTTTTTTGTCTACTCGCTCGGCAACAAATTTAGTGGAACGCGAGACGAGTCACGCCGCCCTTTGTGCGTTACATGCCGCGATGCGTTATCTCGCGCGATGCTGCGGTAATAAAGGTATGAGAACACGCACGTGAAACACATAACTCATCGCTTGGGATCACCGCGAATGTTTCGAGCATTAGCCGGCACATCTATAGAAACGGGCGCCGTTTGTTTGTGTCAGCAATTTTACGTTCAGTATTTTGTGCAATTCATTTTTATCGCGGTTTTTTTCAACAACGTTGAATTTATAATTTTGCATATTTAAAAAATGTGTATATAAACATTAAACAAAAATTAAGTATGTTGTCAATATTAGAAGAATAGAAGATAAAATTTCCAACTTTTTATCATGCATTAACAATATTTTCTCTAAAAAGAATTAAATGAATTATTGTTATCAATGCCGAGAACAACTGAGACATCGTGTAGAAGCGTAGCATTCCTTCAGCGATTATTCATGCGCTTTTTGCCATTCGCATCGCCGTGATTTCGAAAGAAGTAGCGCTTGAAAACGAAGAGGGGTTCTCGTAGGCGTCCAAGTGAGCCCGACGAGTGGAGCGGCGGGTCCATTATTGTCCGTCGCTTAATCTGTTTGTTGTATACCGCCAGCGGGCTGCTAAGTGGTATCCCATTCTATGGTACCCCTACGGCGTACGTAGTGCCAGCGAGCTGTGCGCGAGAGGGGGGCCCCCTTTGCGAACGCGACACATGTTGTTACATCACGTCGCCCATTGTCGTCGCGGCGCAACCCCGGCGCTCCGCTGAGTCGGGACGGTTTCGGTTGGTGAGAGATGAGCACGGAGACATGGGGAGTTCTAATCGCGCACCACTTGACACTCCGCGGCCAGGACCTCGCTTTAACCGCGTGTGGTCTCCGCCACCCAGCCGCTGGTTCGCGTGTAAACACATTATTTTGGCATCCTCACGTATTTTGCGGCTTGACGACATCTCAAACAGAACTCTCGAAGATGAATATGTTACACACGCAATGAATATGCGCAGAAATGTCGGACATTTTTCTTGCGCGTAAACAGTAATTATGAAAACATGTAAACAATATTTTTTAAAGAAGATGGAAATGGATTGATTGAAAAGTTACAATAATGTATGTATGAATCGAACTTTGTCATTATTTTTATATTTCTTCTGATAATATATTACTTTAGCTTGAAATCCAAATCTAAAATTTTATATATAAGTTATCTTTTTTAATCTTGAATGTTCCATATTTGAATAATATGTTAAATATTAACGCGAGATTAATCTACTGAATAAAATACGTGCAAATAAGATTGATATTGTATTAAAGAACTATTAAACATTTCTTTTCCATCGATTAACGCATTAAGGAGGCAGAATAATCTTCTGTATGCGGAAAGATTAAACAACAACGGATGAGCCTATCTATCCTTGACAAGATTTAACGCGAAGTACGTGATATATCTACGTTGCAACCACAAGTATCCGAGTAATAGATTCTGAGCCGCGATGCTACCGTTATCAATCTCGAGCAGTGTTTGCGGAGAGCTTGCGCAGATCACCCTAGGGGTTGGCTTTGTGCATTTGCTCCCCGACTGGTCTCCAACCTTGCGCGTTGCCTTCGCCGCGCAGAACGCTCTCGGTAACAGCCACGTGACAAAATCATAAAAAACGCACACACTGCCCTTATAATCATTATAGAATATGTTACATTGGTTTTCGGATATGCACACTCTCAATTTTCGCCAATGCACGTTTTTGTGTGTGTACAAGTATGACATTTATGATCCCGAAAGATTCAAAGCCGTTATGTTCTTGTAATTTCGACAGGCGTGTCGCGTGTCATCGTTAACATTTAACAAGATACAAAACATGTTTGGACAAGCTCTTTTTTTTCTTCATTAACGAAGTTGACTTATTTTTCGCGCATCATTATTATGCGAGGAATTTACTTTGACAGTTTACCGCGACGGCGTGTTTTCGTGAAAATATTCAAAAGCAAAATGTCAAAAGACACATGGGAATGTTAGATTCGGGGCTTTCCAGAGCTATAAATTTCTACATTTTACTGGCGATCCATTCTTTATCGGTGGTTATTTGTTTATTACTCGAAACATTTACACTCGTCAGAATTGAAACCGCATATAAAACCAAACGCTACCCGCTGTTCCACCTTGATTTGATGATATTCTTATTAAGGAATTTTAATATTTATTTCTTCTTTTCGATTTATGTAATGTTAGCATGCATAATTCGCATTCGTTGGAATTTATACATCGTCGCTATAAAATTAATCAAAATATTTGTAAAACATATATTTAATCGCTTGGCAAGCATAAGGAATCGTCAAAAGCGCTTCTTAATTAAAGAATGGTAAAATAATTATATGAATACGATTATTTTATACCTTGAGCATTTTAAAGCTTTTTCGGAATTGACAAAATGACATAAAAATACATTTTTGAAAAATATTAACGAGTTAATAATTATAAATAATTAAAAATAAAATGAATCTGATAACACTATTATTTTCAAATATATCACAAAATGAATAGCAAATAAAATATAAATATTATAGCAATTAAGCACAAATAGCTTATAAATTATATGTATATTTCGTTAAATAAAATGCCAATAATATTTTTATTGAAATCGAATCATTATTAATTCGGATATAAATATGACATTGCCACCGTGCGCCCATACTTTTTTCTTCATCAAAGCAAAGCGGTTTTTTTTGGCAAAAATCGACTTTAAGGTGTCTTCGAGTACTGATCCCGGCTTTGATAAGTCCGACAACATTTCTGGTTACGTTTACATTTGTGATGGTTGGCTTTAACGGACGATTTTAGCGGACGACCACGGCTGCAGATAGGATCTTATTGGCATTTTTGATTGCGGATTTTTCGAGCGTAATCAGCTGAATGGATCATTTCGGCGGATTATTTCGAGGATAATTTCATTCTCCGCGCATAAGGACATTGTGGCGGCATCATACGTTCTCATTAAGAGGCAAAAATTGAAAGCCTTGTTAGACGCGGGGTGGTAGATCGGAGAGGGATCTTTTACTTTGTCTCCTTTCGTTCTTATGCTATGTTCGGCGATCTTTTTCCTTTCACCCTGCTCGCTCACTCACCGAACCTCATTCTTTTTGTTCTCCACCTCTCCCTCTTTCGCCAACGAGTTGTTCACGACTCGTTCGAGAGCGCAAGTCCGCGAGGTCCTGGGATCGATTCTCAGCTCAGCAGGAGGCTCCTCCTACCATGACGGCCATCTTGCAACCGGCACTAGTCTCACTATATCACATCACACTTCACTGCACCGAGGTTGCATACTTATATTCTGTCGTACGCTCGTATCCTTGGCCCATGCCGGCTCATGTATTTTCGTTGCGATGACCACACACACCATGTTGTCAGGAAACGCTCATTTAATTAGAAAACGTATAATTGCGAAGAGGAATATAAATTTTTTTTTAATTTAGCAATTTACGGAATGACAATATTGTAGATAGTAAAAGTTCAATGAAACCTCCACGGACCGCTTTCAAAATATGTAAGTTAACTCCTGCTTACAATTGTGAATTTAATATTATAAAAATATATAAAATTCATAAAAAATACTAAACGTCTGTAGAGATAAACTGTAAAAATAAGATATTTTTATTTTTTAAATATTAATCTAAAGAAATAAAGAAAGCACGTTTCTAAATTTTGTTTCAGGTGCTGAAATACTGCGACCATTTGCACGGGAAATGGTACTTTTCCGAAGTCCGCGCGATCTTCTCGCGACGTTACCTGCTGCAGAATGTGGCCATCGAGATCTTTCTCGCCAGCAGAAGTAAGTATCGGCAATTCCTTTCATTTTATTCGTCCTCAATCAACGCGCTTTCAGAAGGGAACACATTCCGTTTCTTGCTCAACCCCTTCTGCGTTATTTCGCGCGGCGTAGACGCGATCTAATCCGGCGAATGGCGACGGAATTCCGAGCTCGCCGCAAGGTGTGCGCGTGCGTTAGTTTTTACATAATAAATATCTCGCCCGCATTACGGTATGCCTTTTTCTAAGATCAATTTATTATTTCATTCCGCGGGCACACACCTGCTGGCGTTGCTATACTTCACATCGCAGCGTCACGCAAGTGTAATTCGACGTGTAATAACTTTCGTAATTTCGTATTTCTGCAAGTATACAGAATTATCATCTTTTTTTTCTTATGTTTTATACGGCAAATTCATACTAAAATTTAACGATAAATAAAAATCGAAATTTCCAGTATCAAGAGTCACTGCACTCACGCCCGACGTTATTGCCAACAATAACATTTTTGTTAACGAGTTCTTGTCTATCTGAGGCGGATTGCCGTATCCTGTATCAAACCACGCGGGAGAATTACTTATACCTGCTTCTCTCGGGCCACTATCCCGCTGATTATTTCTCCCGAGCGCAGATAAATTCTCCCGAAGCGTTCCCCGATTCTAATCTGATCCTGACTTTCGATGCATCGTGAGGAGACGTTAGCGGTGGAATGTCATCCCTGCGAAGAGCCTTCGTCGTTCATTAAAAAATCACTGGAAACGCGCGTTAGTTGGCCGACGCCGTGGTACACACGCTCGGAGCTTCTCTCGCGATAAATCGTTGAAGAGTAAAACCGAGAATGAGTTACTTTATAACGCCGTCGCAGCCAAGTGTAGCTTTCGGTCACCGGCATCGCATGCTTTATCTTACGGTTATTTGAAATTACGTGAAGGGACTCTCTCGTTTCCGATCGTAACGGTTAGTTCTGTAAGAACTCTTACGATTACTGCTTCTTAACACGCTACCTTATGTCCACTCGCATAACTTGCGAAGAAGGGCGACGAAAACGATTGCATTCTGGAGCATCTGCTTGCCCTGTAGCGCCGCGTGTTAATAAATTTAAACATTGACAATGCACACGTACCAGCATGAATTGAAAAGAAAAAATACGAAACAGCTGTAGAGGATTTGTATAATAATATTGCAGACTCAATAAACACGTATGCATGTAATAAGTATTATATTACAAAAGTTGAGTGTACACATATCGGAAAAGTCGGTCTTGAAAATATTTATACGATATTTGATAATATTATGGAGAATAGGCTTGTGTTTTATTCGTTTAAAAGTAAAATAGAGTCAATTTTAAAAGAATCAAGAACGTTTCGCTATAATTTATTCGAACTACATATATATGTTCGCGATTAAATGATTAAATTTCTTTGTTCTCTAATTAAGATTAAAACGTACGTCTTGTTCTTGCGTGCAGATTGTTCAGTAATTTACTAGGGATTATTTATGGTAACCGTCTTTTCGCGCACGCCACCCTTTGAACTCTCGAGGGAACGTCGCAAACGTACCTTGAACGATTGGATAGCTTTCTCGCTTTTTATCATTCCACAAACAAATTAATCGACTGTAAAGTCTACAAGTTTATTATATGATAAATTACAATTGTATACTATCAATTTATTATCGCTGTATCTTGATACTGATACAATCTGATTAAATAATGTGACATCGAAAGGGTTAATGTTTCGTTTTATCATTGTCAACATCTTCATTACGGTATAACTTCTATCAATTTTCTTGAATATAAATCTGAAATTCAAAAATAGAAAAAGTTAGATTATAAAAACAGAAAGAAACGTTTTCTCTCGTCCGAATGATTGACGTGCGATATTTGATGAAATCGGGCTTGCTCATAATTCGCGCTTTAACGCCTTTTTGTCCACAGCCTCGATCCTGTTCGCGTTCTCCGACCAGGCGACCGTGAAAAAGATGATCAAGGCGCTACCGCGGGTCGGCGTTGGCATCAAATATGGGATACCGCAGACTAGGTAAGCGATAACCACTTAGAGAAACGAGGAAGGAAGCGCTTCGGCCATTCCACGGGAATTCAAAGATCTCGGAGTCTACTCCCAAACATGCTCGACACATTCTCCCGTTTCTTTGTCCTCTTCGATAAGATGGTATTCCCAGGGACGGATTTGAAACGCTTCTTTTTTCTACAAGCATTTCCAAAGACTAATATGCGAATAAGAATATGAAAATACATCTTAATTAGTCAAGTGAATCAAGTAGAAAAAAATGAAAGTGGTGAATATTTTTGGATAATATAATTTGGCAAAGAATATGTTTTCGATTATAAATATCGACTATGTCGTTAATAAGCTATAATATATTCAAAGCTACATTCATATATACGAGCATTTTTTTATAAAATTCTGATTTTTTATTATCGTATTTACGGTAACGTGCAATGCATGTTAAAAAATACATATTGCGTATCCATAAATTTATACTTTTATATATTGTTTTACTAGATAAGACTCTATTTTTTAATACACCTGGTAGAATAAAAATGTATGCGAACTTAAAGCACAGCATAAAATAAGGATGCGAAATTCGTCCCTGCACAAGGGGATGTCTTTCTCGTATCGTAACGTCGCAGGCACCGAAGAAAAAGATTCTTACAAGGTACAAAGCCTCCTATAGGTCGGCAATAGTCGGCGGCGAGAACAGAGGTTTGCGTATCCGCGCTTCGACTCATCCATTAGAGCTGCTTCTATACATGAGATAGCTGGCGAGAAGCATACATCAGCCATAAATATACGACGTCTGATCTGAGAAGAGAATGCCTGGCTAACAATAAGAAAAATAATTCATCGATTTATAAAATACGAGTCCGCGTATTGCGTTACGTGAAAATACGTTCACGGATGAGAGCAACTTCTTAATTAATGTTTAATTAGCACGTTGCATTATATTTAACTTACATTATTTTCTTAAAGAAACATTACAGTTACGGTCAATTAATTTGAAGTATATTGCTCTTTAGCCGAAGCTGAAATGAATACTTTTTATATTTTATATTTTTATATATGCGCGTGTGGTATTTTATTTATTTTAATGTAATCCGAAATTATAATTTATTTTATGACTTTGGGAGAATCGTCGGACGCCATGTAAACAAGTGTGGCTCTTGACAATCGTGAAGAATCACTTTCAATTTCGCTATCTCGCACTAATGTTCTCAATAAACTATATAATGTTAATTAGTAGAAAATTCTAGGACGATTATATATTAATAAAAAATTGAAATTTACGCAGCGACAGAAATATATTATGAATATAACTTCTATAAGACACGACGTATATCTTTATTTATTAGTATTGCTATAAATCATTAATAATTATACGTTTCACGTATCAATTACATGTTAATTTGCATTTATCGTAAATATTAATCTATTCCAGTGCAATTAGGATGTTATCTTAGAATCGAGGTTTTATCCACGCGCGATAATACACAGGTTTTATGCGCGCATTTTATTTATTTTAATAATGCACACACCCGTTGAAGAATCTGCAGAGCAAAAAATATATTCAGAAGTTTCCACGCGTAAGAGATTGCATTTCGATAACCCGGGAACTGCAGTCGGCACTTCGCCAGTCGCCGATCACAAAGGAGATTTTCATGCTCGCATGAAATTTACGCGAGACGCATCTAAGGGCTGAATTTATGCGTCCGGTGTGCCTTCTTTTAACGTTGCAAGGACGAACGCCCGTTAAAGTCTCCTGTATAAATCCTAAATCAGCGATCTCCGCGTTCATAAAGCCGCGCGACGGGCTTTATGGCGCGAACGCAAAGTGCCGGTGAGCGTGTCTTGACATAATTGCTCTTATGAATTGAGACCGACTGCCATCTTAATAGCGTATCAAAGCTGATCCACCGCTCGTTTGATTTGGCAATTAAAGTTGCGCGGCGCGATGCCGAGTAGTGACACATGTGGTCTGCACTGTAGTTTGCAATTTGGCACGCAATCACGCCATTTTAGCGGTGAACTATAATCGCCCACGTTTGTTTCGGTTATTGATACTTCATTATTAGTAGCCTCGACGCGTATAAGCACATGCTTATGGATGTTCTTATTTCCATATATATTATCTTTCATGTTTCACGTTTGACGAGTGAAGATATAGATGTTTTAAATACTCGCGATAAGAATATAGGTGAAAATTTTATTTATTTATACAATCATTAACGACGTTGTTAACACTAAAAGAATGTTGCAGTCATTATAAAAATAAAAATTGAGCGAGTAAAAAATATACGTTCTATTCGCATCAAATATCTGTCAATTGGACAATTGATGGAGAACTATTTGCAACGTTGCGGTATTTTAAATTTTTATGTACGAAAACTATGTAATATTTTGTAAAAAATAATAACTCACAAATCCTTATTTTACAGACGAGCATCGTTAATGTCACCGCGACAACTGATGCGAAGCTCTAATATGACTCAAAAGTGGCAGCGTCGGGAAATATCGAACTTCGAGTACTTAATGTTCCTGAACACGATCGCTGGTGAGTATTTCCACTTTAGACAAACGTAAATCGCAAATTAAATTGGCCTGTTGCCGGTCGATTTTGCTGCTGGAGTATCGTTAAAGAAAGATTGGAAGAGTAGCGAAGATGCCGGGTTTTTTATGGGTGCACACGGGCGGATGGAGTCTGTCGCGACGAATTAGGGATGTTCTCAATCAGCCCTGTGTTCCGTTAGCTACCCCATGCGAGTAATCCCAACCTCGTGGGCCCCGGTAATCCTCTCCCGAGAGACTCACCACCGCCCCTCCTGCCTTGCGTCGCTGAGGGCGAAATGGAGGCGCGTCTTTGTTTCTCTTCGGTTTAATATCCGCTCCCTCGCGCGCTCATCGAACCAAATCACGAAACTCGAGACGTCGCCGGCCTTCTATGCTTTTTAATGGGACAGTTCGGACGTCCCTTGACGAGTTGCAGCAGATTCAGCCGGGCGTATTTCGATTATCTTACTGGCCTTTCCGTTCAATACTTTTCTCGCAAACAACAATTATTAAAAATTTAATCGTATTTACAAGGAAAGTAAATATTTATGGTACTTTTATTATCGTGTACGATAGGATAATTTATCTTCAATTTCACGGAAGAGAAGACTCAACGTACATCATTTGTCTTTTATATTACACGTGGGAAGCCTAGAAGAAACAAACGTATCATCAAACGATTCTCTTCACGTGCCGCCGAGGTTCATCGACTCCCGGGAGTGATCGATCTCTCGTTGCCCTCCCCAGGCGAAGCTCTTTCGATAATAATCGTCGGCGCGCACGCACGATAGTGTTCCGGGCGGCACGCCGATCGTCGTCGTAGGTGTATTAAACCCGGGCGAGATCGGGCGCGATTCTCGTAAACGAGTTGGTTAGGCGCTCGCTCGTTGTAAGTTATATTACTAGCGCGGGATTTATATGCGCGCCCACGTATTCGGTTGGCCGATGCTTAATGACGGCGATGAGCCCGGACGCGTAATTATTCGCATTTCGGCGCAGTGCGCCGCGATGCCCGGGGGTGGCCGCGCCGCGTATTTACGAGGGTTATATATTAATTGCTCGAATAAATAGCCGTGGGTACCAGCCGCTCGCTCTGCCCGCAACATCGAGAACGATCGAACCGCCGGCGGAGAGAGAAAGGGAATCGGTATGAAAACGAACCGGTCCGCCGCGCCGTACCGCGCTGGTCTGCGCTCCCGCATACGATCAGTCGCGGGGTTTATTTGCTCTCGCGCGCGCATCGGTTTATTAAAAATTAATGACAGTGAATCCGATGTAAATACGATAGCCCGCACCGGCGGCGAGCGAGCCGCGCGTATGTACAGGGTGAATCGCGAAGAAGAATCGTCGGAGATGGCGATCGATGTTCCTCTGAGAAAGCGTCGTGGGTTTCTTGAGACTCGTATGACTTGTCAAAGATAAGACAACAAATGGATGATTTCTCTATAAAAATGTTTAATAGGACATTTTATTTTTATAAGAATGAATAGTCCATTTTTCTTTGTAAGAGCCTGAGATTAATAACCTTTTTTTATTCTTTTAAAATAATGTACAAAAAATTACGAACATGCAGTTTTATAATATTAGAAATAATTGTTTGCCGCGAATGCGTGAAGATGCTATATTTAAAGATTAAATCTGTATTCAGTTTCTCTTGAGGAGTACCCTATATAAAATATACAGCCAGTATTCCCTGCAGCATATCGAGTGCAACACATTCTGATTTTAACTTCTCTTGATATAATTTCTTTAGACATATCCTGCGGATATGGTGATATTTTAAATTTGCTTATACGCACTTTATAATTGTGTCTCGCAAATCAATTTTTTGCATTTAATAAAATATAAGGTATTACTGAAATATTTATTCAATGCAGTCGACGAACGTAAATAAAAACTGATAATATAATGTGGAATATAAAATAATGTATAATGGACATTGCTGTGTGTGCTTGATAAATATACTGCGTTTATTTTTCAAAATATATGCAACTCGCTTTACACACACAAAATTACAGCCTTTTTATCTCGAGTGTATGATAAATTTTACAAGTTATTGATTATATATAGCAAGCCGCAGAAATATTCAGATATCTACAGATTAATATCAATACTAAAAAGTATTGATAAACTGAATTTTTGCGGTTAAACATGAATATTACTTATGATAAATACGAAGTATTTTGTAATTGTCAGATAAAATATTTCTATATTTCATAATTTGTTATTTTACAATTTATTTACATAAATATACATATACATGCTATGATAAGAGCATATGTACCGAACATAGGTATTTGTGGAACGCGACGCCGAGAAGATCCGTTTTTGTCGTACTTTGCTACGTCAATTTTTTGCGAAGTTATAGCGTTTTAAAAATCCAGCGCGCGTGCATGTGTGAGTGCGTGCGTGTTTCGCGGAACGCGGAAGAAGTAGCAGAAGGCATTTAAACTATTACGGCAGCTGACAGGTGTAGCATGGGTATTTAAATAGGTCACTGACCTACATAGAACACGTGGCTTCATCATCGGCTGTTTCGGAGTAGTTCGGAACACACTTCGGGATCCGTCAAGGTGGCGCGATTATGCAGTCGATAAGTGTCGATCGAACTATCAATATCTTTGCGCGGGAAAATGGTGGAAAAAAAACAAATGTTATTTGAAAGTTGGGACCACTAGCAACAAGGTCAGAATCATTCACTTCAACGAGAAATTTGTGAGATATCGCTTAATTATAAAAATTAATCCTTTAGTGATAAAAAACACTAAATAATTGTCATCGGCGCGTCAAATTTGTAGGTTAGGATGACTTGTTCTCGTTTGTTATATGTAATTTGTAGTGAGGACCGTGTCTTTTGATGTGACTTCGCAGACATAATAAATGTTTTTCAGCGATCGTAAACGCTTTATAGCCACGAATGAGTAATTTGAATGGTACGTACACGTTTTCCATACTGAAATGGTTAGGTCTTATGCGTTCATTAGCCAGCATTTACAGCAATTTTGAAGATCTTATAAGAATAAATTTTCCACTTCAGTGCAAAAATTAAATTATTTGAACGCAAAAATCTGTAATTAGAATGCACAAACATAGCTTATTTCTAAAAAAATTCCTTCAACAATCTAATTATTAAATTACTGTTATTAGTGTTGCAGAAATAAAATAAAAAAAGAAATAAATTTAAAGCATAACGCGATATTCTACATATTTTTTCTTTGGAAAAATCTGAAGACTCATTAAGATTTACTTTATTTATTAATAATTCGCGTTACAGATTTATTTCCATAAGAACGATTGCATTCTACAAGCTAGCTTGGTCTGCAAATTCATTTCGAATGTCCTTCGAATTTCTTTTAAACCAAGAATGAAAGCTTAAACAGGAAAACAAGGTCTGAAGTTCTAGGACGAGAGAAGTGTATGTGTCGCGGACATTCCGCTGTCGAGGCGCGTTCCTCGAGCGCTCACTCATGCCGACGCTACCATTAATAATCACTTTGATGCATAACGCGGCCTCGCTATTATTTACGTCCGACCGTCGCTCGCGCAGCCTCAGGATTTACGGGCGTATTGTAGCGTCGGCGGGGACTTGTGTAGCGGTCGGCGCGGTACGAGTTTGCCGAACGTCTTTTTTTTTTCCGCAAGAATTAAGTATCCGGCGAATTTCTTGGAGATGGCTCACAGTTCGCTTTTCGTCACAATTGATAATCAGTTGTGTCGAAATGCGCTCTATTAAAAAATCGACATGCAATAATTAATAAATATCACTAACGGCTTTACATACTTCTGAAAGAATCAAAATTGCACTTTATTTCAAGCTTTATTCAGTATTGTGTTAAAATTTTCCCTTGTGTTTAAACAATATAACTTAATGCTTAGAATTAGCTCAAATCAATCGTTTCGGTTTGCTTGATCTAATCACTTTTCTTTCACGATGATCAAAAAAACATTTCGCATGCTGTTTTGCCGGGCAACAAAAGAAAACAAAATAATGGAGCAAGGGAGAATGGTACATACGTGTATCCGTCATGAGGGCGTCGAGTGACAAACTCGCTGACGTGCTTTAATTAGCGACAGGGAAAGAGATTAGAGCTCAGTCTTGGGACTCGCGCTGCCGTCACTAATGCATTTCGGGATGGGATTCCACGGAGGGGGGAGGGGGGGGGGGAAGGGGAGCGAGCACGAGTGAGACTTCGGGGAGTGACAATTTCAGGAGCGATTAGCCGTCACGCTCTGAGTTATGCGCTTACTAAACGGCACGCCGCGCCCCATTGAGCCACACGGCGCGTTTTTTGGTAAAAATAGAATCACGAGGCAAGGCGCGATCTCGTGGCCGCTTTCATCGCCCTTAGTTAACAGCGGGGGTGCGAGATGGAGAGGAGTGACCGTGGTTAAGACGCAGGGTCAGGGCAAGAAAAAAGTAGGCCGGCGATTATCCGCATTAAAAGCCGAAAGTGCGATCTCCTCGGTCTATTCTCGGCAGTATGTATGAGGAATTTAATTTAAGCGCTTACCCATTCCGACTTCCTCGTCTTTTTTTTTTTGTCTGGGGTGCTGAGCGATGATCTAAGTCATGTAAAAAAGAAAAAAAAAATACATACGCAAGCTCGGCTTCGCTGAGAGATTTGCATTTTTACATTATTACTCTCATTCTCAATAGTGCGAGACGTACCGATGATTCAACCAAATAAATAAATTTGCGCTCTTGGTTTTGAAAAAAAAATATTTTAATTCTTTTCAGGTCGCACGTACAATGACTTGAATCAATATCCCGTGTTTCCCTGGGTGTTAACGAACTATGAAACGAAGGAACTCGATCTCAGTTTGCCGAGCAATTACCGAGATTTGTCGAAGGTAAGGTATTTGCACATCCATATTTCACATATGGCAATAAGAGAATCCATATTTCATACGGCAATATACATTCTGCCGATCTCAATTTCTTCATATGCGTCACGTACGCGAAATATGTTGGTGCTTTGAATGTCGCAGTAAATCTTCATGCTAAGAAATAATTTACGTACATTTTACAGCCAATTGGCGCATTGAATCCGAACAGAAGAGCTTACTTCGAGGAGCGCTTCCAAAGCTGGGAGCATGACACTATACCACCTTTCCATTACGGCACGCATTATTCCACGGCGGCTTTTGTCCTAAATTGGATGATACGCGTGGTGAGTGTTTTATTATTAACGCGATATGCTTCATATTATTTAACTTCGCTTTGTCGATTTACATCTGCAGACAAACAGATAGTACATTTTCATCATTTATATTCAAAGAGTATAAAAATTAATGCATATTGCTTGCAGTGATACTTGTTAAATCAAAATATTAATTATCTCTTACGTCGTCTTTTATAAGTTTTAAATTGAAATATAACATACGACATAGAATCGGGTTTTTACTCATGTAATGGATGTATAATTAGCTTCCAATCGCTGATTTTTTGTCCTTCCACTTACGAAGCGTGTCCAGTCTGCACCGTAAATTTAAGCGACACTTTTAGTACTGCGTTCACGCTAATTTGGGGGCGGCGGAACGCCCTCGTGTCAACGACGCCCGCCTTCTCGTTAAATATACACATTTGTTTTCTGCTGCATTTCCTCGTTCACTTGAAATGCTGGATGTCTAGCTGGAAAACGTCTTCATCTTCCTTTATTCTTTGCGGAATAAAATAGATACAGTTGTGCGAAACATTTCTTTCTACTCAATATAAATTCTCAGTTATTGCATATTGATTATGACTTTCTTTTTACTATCAGTTTATTAATCAGTGTTTTCTACGATCATCGTCTATTTAATCGGTCTATTTAATTGGTCTTAAATAATTTGCAAAACGTTTTTGAAGTACTCGTGTTATTGCGCATATTTAAATGCAAAGCAACGGCGTAACGTTTAATTGTGCAGCGCAATGTTCCGGCATAGTAAAATATTGCATCATAAACAATTTATTGATCTATAAATCGTAAGTCGTCACTCCGCAGCTTCGTCCACCGGAAATACGTTAATGACCCGTAGCATTATCTTGATGTCTTAAAGGCATAGTTTTTAGGGCTGATATGCAGCGCGAATCGTTCCGGATAAAAAGCAAAAATCAAGTTTACGTCCCAGCGTACGCTCATATTCGTACCGCAGTACAAAAGTGCATCGATTACGTGTGTGGCCTCTTGCTAGCATTCCGCTCGCCTGTCAACGGCACGGATGACTTGCCGGGAACGAGAAGGGCCCCGCAAAGGCTCGCGCACACAAAGAGTCGTCTATAAAGCGTCTCCTAAGTGGCGGTTTCGACTCGCGCCGTCTTTTCTACGCCAGTTTCTACACTCAATGATATCCTGCGGGATTTATACGCTCCCCGTCGCGAGAGAATCGACTCGACACTAAACTGTACTTTGCTTTATTTTGATAATAAATGATTTTTTTACAGGAACCGATGACGACGATGTTCCTGGCGTTGCAAGGCGGCAAATTCGATCACCCTAACAGGCTATTCTCATCTATTGCGCTTTCGTGGAAGAACTGCCAGCGTGATACGTCCGACGTTAAGGTTCGTTGCATCGATCGCATTTAATTAAGATACTCATAAAATTTACATTTTAGCCACGCCTCTGTGAGCAACCGCATTTCCATTGTTATCGTCGCTGCATAAATTTTCGATACACGTTATTTGATATTCTGAAAATTGGAAGAGCTATAAATACGTCTTCTCATTAACAGGAATTAATTCCGGAGTTTTTCTTCCTACCGGAAATGCTGGTGAATAGCAATTGCTATCGTTTGGGCAGGCAGGAAGATGGTAGCGCGGTCGGCGACGTTGAATTACCACCTTGGGCTTCATCTCCCGAAGAGTTTATACGTATAAATCGAATGGTATGGAATTAATTATTTTAAAATCAATGTTATAAATACATAATATGAAAATTGAGTTAATAATATCTAAGTATACACTTATTTTACGATACATTTAACTAAATTACATTTCTTTCAGGCACTTGAGTCCGAGTTTGTGTCTTGTCAATTGCATCAATGGATCGATCTGATATTTGGTTACAAGCAAAAAGGTGAGATTAACTTCAGAATTGATTACAGTAATTTACAGAATTCCTTGCAAATCACGAATATTAAAAAATAAATAATCGTTTTTATTCTCATTTATTGCATTTGCATCGTTTATGTGACATAAAAGAGTGACGAAAAAAAGAGAATTTCTATGATTTTGTTTAAAATAATAAAATTGTATTAAGAGATGTTTATCCCGATCAAAATCGCTTTTGATGTGAAGTTCGGGCGATAATCCATGAATTGAGTCAATAGCGTTCACACAATGGCAGGCGCCGCTCACGAATACCCAAGGTTGCGCCTTGGGTGTTGAGACAGAGGCAGTCGAGTCAAATTAGATTTCCACCGGTGGTAATTGCCGGTGGCGCCTCTATATCCGGCGCTTCCCCGAAGATGCGGTCTCCACATCGGATGCGGGATCGAGGGAGGATGCTTGCATTCGAGAACGCGCGTATGGAAGGAATTAGTTTTTAGTTAGCTTCCTCTCTCGAGCCCTGTCCCGACCAATTAGGCACGTGTGCCGAGCGCGACAATGTGTCCCACCCGTAATGCGCAACACGTTTACAAGAGCAGCACGAAAGTGGAGCTAACCGGAAATACCGGCCACAAGCAATTGGCGAGAGCTCTCGAAATCATTTTCGAAGGATGCATCGTGTTGCGCAGCGTCGTAACGATGCACTGAAATCGTGAAATTAAAGCGAAAAATAATGCATTAAAATTTTTATCTAACATTTCGATTATTTTTTTTTATAGGTCCAGAAGCCGTGCGCGCTACCAACGTTTTCTATTATTTGACGTACGAAGGTAGCGTAGAGCTGGACACGATCACTGATCACATGATGAGGGAAGCTATAGAGAATCAAATTAGGAACTTCGGACAGACGCCGTCGCAGCTTTTGATGGAGCCACATCCTCCAAGAAGTTCCGCGATGCACTTGGTGAGTTTATTTTTATGTATACATATATGTGAAAAAATTGTTTTGCATATTAAATCGTGAAAGAAAATAAATGATATATTTTTAGTCGCCAATGATGTTCTCGAGCATTCCGGATGACGTGTGCATGACTATTAAATTCCCGTCTAACTCACCGATCTGTCATATCTCGGCTAACACTTATCCGCAATTGCCACTGCCATCGGTTGTGACGGTAACCACCGGACAGCAATTCGCTGTCAATCGGTGGAACACCAATTACGCAGGTAAAGTAATTTTCCACACGCTTCAGTAGTTAAGTTCGGTTTTTGTCGCTTCACGATTATATTGTAATTTTAACCTATTATTTATAGCCTCCGTGCAATCTCCAAGTTATGCAGATACACCTCAGGCGCAGGCTGCCAATCAACCATTGTCCATGGATCCTGTTCTTTGTGAGTGCACGTGTATACGCATGTGAATTGAATAACGTTACCGATTGATAATGCTATTTTATATATTTTTAGCTCAAGCGGCTAACAGCTCGAATCCAACATTACAACGTCGGCATCTAGGTGATAACTTCAGCCAGAAACTAAAGATTCGCAGCAACTGCTTTGTCACTACCGTAGACAGTCGATTCTTGGTAGCTTGCGGATTTTGGGATAATAGCTTCCGCGTCTTTTCAACCGAGACAGGTAAATTTTAACGTTTTGCAATGATTCGTATTATAACATGTAATAAGTAGATAATAAATAAATAGGAAATTGTTAATCATTTGCACATGATAAGGTTTTGAAAGGAGGAAATTATTATTTGTGCAGCAAAAATCGTTCAGATAGTCTTTGGACACTATGGAGTCGTCACCTGCTTATCGCGCAGCGAGTGCAACATCACTTCCGATTGTTACATCGCATCCGGAAGCGCGGACTGCACCGTTCTTCTTTGGCATTGGAATGCTAGGACGCAGACTATCGTCGGCGAGGGCGAAGCGCCAGCACCACGCGCCACCCTTACAGGTCACGAACAGCCTGTGACGGCCGTCGTCATATCCGCCGAATTGGGTTTGGTTGTCTCGGGATCACTTTGTACGTATTATAATTACAAAGCATTGTATAAAAAAAAGGATATTCAAGATTTAGGACATTTTAAAAATTATTTTTAGAAATGTAATATGTTTTTTCTATAATTGTTGAAAAATTGCTGTACTGTTTAGACTACTTATAACGTATAATTTTAATATGAATGTTTACAGACGGTCCAGTACTCGTCCACACTACTTTCGGCGATCTCCTAAGATCGCTCGAAGCACCAAATGGATTCTCGTCGCCTGAAAATATCGCTATGTCACGCGAGGGCGTTATTGTGGTGAATTATGAACGCGGGCACATAGCGGCGTTCACCATAAACGGAAAACGCCTTCGTCACGAGTCCCACAATGACAATTTACAAGTAATTTCTTACTTCTCTTTTTGGGAATGTACATTAATTATGATCACGCGTCGTATAACGTCATGATTTATTTCCAGTGCCTATTGTTGAGCAGAGATGGTGAATACTTGATGACAGGAGGTGATAAGGGTATCGTAGAAGTTTGGCGGACTTTCAACCTTGCTCTACTTTACGCATTTCCTGCATGCGAAAGTAGCGTGCGTTCTCTCGCGCTCGCTCATGATCAAAAGTGAGTACATCTTGAAGAAAAAATTAGAAGGCGCAAAAATAAATAAAATGTACATTTTAAGATACATTTTAATCATTTTTATGCTCTTATATCATATTATTTGGCAGGTTTAGAACTTTACTGTAATGTATTGAAATCTTATATTCTGGAATTCTAGATTATATATATTTCTTTGTTTAAAATATATAAGATTTCAATGCATAAAATTCTAAGCTTGTTAAATGATATAATATGAAATTCTAAAACATAAAAATAGATAAAATGTATATTAGTGTGTGTTAAAATATGCATTTTATTCATTTTTGTCTTAGAATCTTATATCATAACACTTGATAGATCTACAACTTTAGCTTGTACATTTTCTGTCTATTTCTTTCCACTTCTGCGATACATTTAAATCATATATCTTAAAGGAAAAAAAATGGACGAGAATGTTAAAATATACATTTGATTCAATTTCAGAAATTTGATGGAATAGATATAACATGAAAAATATTGATGCGTTCTGTTCTAGGTTTCTTCTAGCTGGTTTGGCAAATGGGTCCATCGTAATATTCCACATTGACTTCAACAGATGGCATCACGAATTCCAACAGCGTTACTGAAATTACGATTTTCTCTTCGCCTAAGCGAGCGAGGCACACCCCACGAAATAAAACAAATCCTTGCGCTTAATTCTTCAAGTAGTACAACAACTTCGAATCTACAGATATTTCACGGACAAATGGCGCTTTCTTCGTTCGATTCCCCGTTGATCGTGGACCATTCGGTTCGCGAGTGTACGGCAAAACTGTATGTTATTTGCGCGACATTTGTACCGAGCAGCTTCTTGTCAGGCTATCTTTAAATTCGTCCCTATTTACGGTACGCAAAGTATTCCGTCAGTCGTTTCGGATTAGACGCAATGAGCGGCAATGAAACGAACGTGATATACTGTGAGAATCTTAGCGTTCAGCAATAAACTCGCTTTCGTGGCAGCGTGCAGTGCTTCCCTAAATAAAGAGGAGGTCAGAGCGAGAAGGGCGAAGCGAATTGCAGTCAGAATCCCGGACGTCCATCTCGTGTAATCACGCAGTGGATTGCGTCGAACCAAGCGTCGAACCACAACCACGTCACAAGCTGGTAAAGCACGAAAACTACACGCGTGCCGCTCGAAACGCTAGTCAATTAACGAAGACTCGGACCTATCCATGTCCGTGAAAAATTTACGGATCGATTGCGCGATTTTTTCTCACGCGATCCAAAGAAAGGGATAAACTGCAATGGGGAGAATAATCGCCGATGCGAAGAGGAGAGCCAACGTCGACGAGACGGCGGAGCTAAGACATACGTTATTTTTATGCCTGAAACTGCACGTGGATTTGGCCACGACACCTTAGCGTTAATGTCCAATGTAAATACGGATATATTCTTCACGTTATATATATATATTATATATAAAATATATATACACGACATACACACGCGCGCGCGCTTTATTCCGTATTAGAAGGGGCGAAGAGGAGAGGCGTGTATTATCGCGAGTGGTTTGCATTGTATTTTTCGCAGACGTATTAATGTCGCTCACGTCGAAACTTTTTGGCTAAAGCACCTTGTACGTTCAGTTCGGACTACACGCACGCGAACGCATCGCGTATCACCGATACCGGCGCGTCGACAAATGCTTCGCGGTAACACGTCGCTAATCATTTTCGGGACCGTGGCTATCAGCCCCCCATGATCACCCTTCCACCTCCGCTACACTTTCTATACGCTGATGTTCGCGTCCTTCGGAAGAAATCCTAATTTTTATCAAAGCCGTCCAGCTTAACTTTTGCGAGGATATTTCTTAGTATTTTCGCACGCGACGTATATTAATCAGCAAAACAAGTTATTTAGGCTAAAGTGACATCCCGAATTCATCCTTAACATTCCGCGACTTGTCGAGGATCGTTTCTGTGTGAATGCGTCATCGGTGATCTCCACAGGATGACTCGAATGACGATAGAGCGAGGTATACGAGAGATGAAAGAGAGGCCGAACGCGTAAATGTGAACGAGAGAATGAAATATTAACAAAACAAAAAAAAAAAGAACAAAAAAGCAGACATACACCTTAACAGCTAACAACGATGGGGAAGAAGATGCTTGATCATGCATAAGTGGTAGATTTACTAGCTTGACTTTCGTTCGTACGTCATCGTAGAACGTGTGATAGCTGTCTCGTAGTATTACTGCTAAGTATTATTGTCATTCTGAGTCCCCGTTTTGCGAGAGGTGGTCGCGAAACACGGGACGCCGTATAAATATAGCCTTCAGTTGTTCGTACGTATTCTGGATATAATGTATTGTCGTCATCTCGGTTAATATGTATCTTGTGTAACGAATAATTACTTATCTAGGGGTAAACCGTTTTGTTGTCACCGCTTAATAGCCGTACGACGATAACGAATGTATTTCCAAAGTTGTCTCACAAGTAGTAGTCAGAAAACTCTTTGTGTGCGAAAAATGGAGAAGAGATGCGAGAAGACGGAGAGGAGAGAACGCGGGAGAAGATTAAAAAAAAAGCGAAAGAGAGAAAGAGGGAGAGAAAGAGAGCGTAAATGTAATCTACTCGGAGTGATTGTTTTTACGGATCGCAATTAATCGTAACGGTGATTTAAGAAGACGCTGTACATTTTGCCGTGCGACTTATTAGATTAATTTATATTCGCTTCGCTTGCAATAAACGATTAACGTTTTCTCACAAGGCACCATTAATTATCCGATGAAAATTATCCGGAAGAAAATCGTGAAATATGCGTGTGTAGCGCGCTCTAACTATAAAGAGCAGCTTATATAGTTTTTAAAGCGTTCGCTTCTTTCATCGATTTGATAACATTTTTTTCCGATGCTTGCAAATAAAATTTTACCGATCAGCATTGTTTAGCGCTTATTATACGACGGCATGGAAATAGCTTTCCGTACCTCGATACGTGTTCTAGTCAACGATTATACCGTTGAATCACCGTCGCGAGTCACCTGCGATCCTCAGCATTTAGGTATCGATAAACACTTAAAAGATATGCCGTACTCTTTACGTGTAGGTGTATAAATTAAATGCATAGTGCCGTCGTCTTTAGCGATCAATCACTTTGGGCTTGCGAGATTACGGTAGCGTTGCGCTCGTAATATCGATTCTTGCTGTGCACCGGGCGATCGTGCGGCGATCCGCTCGCAGCCGATCGTCAGTAATCGTACAATTTTTAAGCGTATAGGGGAATGTTACGTGTGTAATGTGTTAATAATGGTGTATTACCACTCGTTATGGGCGTGCTTCTGCATTGATCGTTCGTAGTGTTTTGTTCGCGCGGAAGGATGGAAGCATAAATGAGCGAGAAGAAGCAACGAAGAGAGAAGGGATGAGAAAAAGGGTTGAGGCTTGTTTCTGAATGCTTTTAACGATATCGCTAGTTCCGTTGTGTGCGCATGGAAACGAATTTCTGTCACGCGTGTAAGCGTTCACGTATAGGCGCGCATTGTCGATATTTCATTTTTGCTACACAGTGAGACATTACGTCTAGAGAAAAAGTTAAACGCACGACATTCCATCTCTCGCATTTCCTGCTTTTTACCAGTTAACAATTGCGTTTATTTATCTATATACATGGGTTGAACTAAGAAGGAAGACAAAATTGGCATACCGTTCATGAACATAGTCAAATTGAAAAAAAATTAAATAAATAAATTGCGAGGTAACGGAGACGTTTTTAGAACGCGTGTTCGCGAGTGCGACGTACATTCGGCTAGGCGGCACGTACTTTCGCATTATTCAATGAGCGCGAAGACAGCGTAATGGGTGAGAATGTATTGGAGAATGACGAAAAGTCGCATAAAAAAAAAAAGAGTTTTTATATTTGTTTATAGATGTGTGAGAATGTGCTGCATTCTTTAAGCAAGTTGTTAGTGAATTCCCTCCATATTGCTAATATACATAAAGGAAGTTAACTCAGATCGATTTCTGTCCGTACTTGAACATTCAGTACATAAAAAAAAAAAATATCGCTACTATTTTAAATAACGCTAAGTACAACGCTACAAGAGTTTGCCTATATTATTATTACAATTTATTGTCATCATTATTATTAATATTCTTATTATTATACGATTGTGGCTACATTAACGTACTTAATATTAACGACTATCTATACAGGAGCATAGATTTGTATATTCGTCGGATAAGGCCCTTAATGTTTGCGTGTTAAGTAATAATTTTACTTACCCACATTTTACGAGGAAGACGCGAGGTGACAGGAACTGTGTAAAGTTTTATCCGGTTCGTTCACATGCGCTGCGAGCTGCCCGTAGAAGTACTTACATCTAGATTAATCGACGCGTCTCTACATGTTTATAAACGTAATCACGGGCGAGATAAAAGAAGAGAAAAAGAAAAAAAAGAAAGAAGAACGACGCTGCAACACACGCGACACGGATATAACACTCAAGCGCTTACTTATTAGGCTCGTATTACCTACACCTAAACCTGGTTCAAGCTATTGAAAAGGTATTTAAGAGTGACGCGGGAGAGAAGTCATCGTGTTAAAGGCTCGCTAGCGAGGAAGCTCAACAGGATCTAGATCTCGGTTCTCACGAGAGAGTGTAACCAATCGAAAGCGCTCGTCGACGCAATTTTTTTACATCACACACGTAAGTCAATAATACGCGTAGCCGCGAAGTTGGAGCAACCTCGATCGCGCGGGACCATCTCTCGGGCTCGTCGAAACATCGTTTGCACCAGAGACAATGTTTTATAAGCACCGACTCATTTTTTTTACCCTCCTCTTCCCCGCTCCCCTCCACCCCCTCCCCCTCCGGGCCGAAACGAGCGACGCGATCCAAGTCCACGCGCGCGCGCATCCCGTCCGCGGATCGTGGTTGAGCTCCTCCAATTTGCGGATCACCGTTACCGCGCGATTACATCTCGTCACGATCGAGCCTCCCACCGACACGGACGATTTCTTACGGTGAACATTTTTGTCATTTCGGATTGGAGACACGCACGGCGGGAGTACGACCGGTTCCGATTGTGTTCGTGAAGAAAATGTAATTAGAGGCCTAATTGTTTTGCTGGCGATGTTACAGCGTGACGCCGTAACGGTCCGATGCTCGATCGGTGAATGTAGGATCGTCGAAAGAGTCTCGGACACTTGTCTCGTATGATTTCCGACGAAGCCAAACCGCAATCAACCGGGCACCGACGATTTTACCTCGTCGTCGTTGACGGGACACGCGGTGCAGATTTATTCCCGCCACTTTTAAGAAGTATTACTGGGTAGAGAAGTACTTAAGTCGTTGCTACATAACAGTATAAGCTCTATCGCTTATTTTATACTTAGAGGTATTGTAATGTTTCGATTAGAGATAACATAATGGGAAAGTTGTATCTTAGTATAAGGTAGACTAATCTGTAAAGATAAGTAGTCAAATAAATGAAAAGTACATTTGATGTTGCAGACGATCCTTTTGCTTTATCGCTTTGAACCGAGAAACTCTAAAGTTCCAACCAGACGATTTAATCCAGTCACGATTGACAGCGCATATATTCATTTATTAAAAATACCAAAATTGGACAGAGAGAAAAGGTGGGTGGGCTTAGAAAAACGTGCCTATTTTTCTTGTTACTGATTTATTTATGTCATTTACGATCATAACAGAGAGCACTGCGTGCTCAAATATACAATATAGATATGTACTCGTTAGAAAAGTATACACATTGTCCATACCGATTATTGTTACTTGCCCATAAATTAGCTACATGCGAATACGATCGCTTTCATAAGTAGAGTAGGTTTTAAACAAAGTGTTCATCTCTTTCGACTCGATTATAATAAGTCATTAACATACTTTTTACGTTTTATGAATGCACGTACACTAATTTGCATATTACTTTGTTCTTGTTCACATTCGTAGATACACGAGAGAGTTCATATTTTATAATTCGTACGTACGTATAATAGTACGCGATTCAATTTACATTTTAATTCACATTTTATAATAAATAATGTCAGTAGTTCATTCATTCGAGGCAACTAAAAAAGTAAAGTACTTTGAAAGAACGTAAAAAACTTTAAATTTTTCTCTGAAATACGTAGTAAAAACAGAAAGCTCGGTTTAGCATCATATCCTGCGGAAGTTTTAATAATTCATAGCGGTATTAATGAAGAGCTCACATTTTACGTCATACTTTTTTTTATAGGTACAGCTTCTTGTTTAAATCACTACTCTCAATACGGAGCGACTGTTTCACATACTATTGAAATTGCATGAGAAAGCTCAGTCCTGTGGTAAAATGATCCACTTGTACGAAAAATACAGCATCTTGTTTTTTTTTTCTTTAATTTTTTTTTACTTTTATGGGCATCGCTGGAACAATGGAGTAGATGAGAAATTTTCAAGGAGAGATTTAGAAAGACGTTCCTTACGGCTTACAGGCAGGCATATAGATATCGAGAGATATTGACTCGAAATAGTGGAATAGTCTAGGATTATTACGGCACGCTTCTAGCATTTTCAACGCGCAAGAGTTTCTAACATTAAGCATGTGTGATTAAGAACGTACTACCTTCAATCATACTACTGCTACATCGTTATTTTGTCGGCACATTTTTTTCGCTAGACACTATGTCACTCGAAATATTGTTTATCACCAAATTTGATATCGTTTTTGTTTACCTACAGTTTGCGTAATATAATTCTATATGTTAATTACGTATACTTTTTCGACTCACATCTCCATCTCTTTATGCAATCGGTAAGGGCTTATGACAATTAAAGTTAGACACTCTTGAAAAAATCAAAAGAATACAAATCGCAATTATATCCACATTTTGTTTCTCATAAAATTTGGGGACTTGTTAGCGTTCCATTTCGACCCCATCCATTTTCCAGAAACGCCCATATTTCTTAGATATTCAGATTTGTTTCGTACATATTCTCGTGTAAATGTAATCGACTAAATATTTTTTAAAATATATTAATAAAGTACAATTCACAGATCTGTACTTGTTAAAGACATTCGCGTATTCTGGCCAAACATAACTCTCAAAGAAATATTAGATTTCTCACTGAAAATCCATCTCTACGCTACTTTACTCCCTTTTCAAAATATTATATTCTTAAACATACGCATGCACATAAATGATATATCCGTAATTTGTTAAATTATAAGAGAATTACATTGTTCGCCCTTTTCCACTAAGTATATGTAATTCCTTATATACGATCTAGATGTATATTTTATTTATTATCAAGTTCACAATCTCGGATAGTCGCGTCAGCCGAACGTACACGCGTGCACGAAGCAGCCGCCCATGATTTCTGGATCACATTATGCATGTGTCGCTTGTACATATGTGTGTGCTAGTACGTATATGTTCAGATACATTATCACAAATAGTGCCCGTCTCGTCGGACATTATCTCTAAACATACATCACGTTAATAGAACATTTGCGCAGAAGTGGTAGCGAGCGTGAAATAATAAACGGCGCACGGATCCAATCGCGTTCGCTATCTTAGAAATCTATTCAATTGTACTCTGCTTGCTAAAGCAATCTGTCGTCTAAATCTGCCTGCACTAGTTTTCATCTTGCCTTCATCGAGGACAAGGCCTTGCATCCCTCTTTCACTCTCACGCTTATATTTGTCTTCTATAAAAACTTACCTATCTGATCTCGCGCGATTAATCTAAAGACATTTAAGCTACCGTCATGCTCAACATCACGTTGATAGGGAACAATTTCTACGGAGGGGAGGGTATCTGGATACAGTGACCTGCGTTTGAAATGGTGCGGGACCAGCCTGCACAGAGAGACAAAGCAACGTAAATTTATCTCGTTTCCGTTTACTTATCGGATCGTCGGAATTGAGCAACGTATGATCGGTTTCGTTATGCCGGATCGTTTATTATTTCATGCCTGCTGCACGAGGTAAGGTTGCAAAGCACAGAGTTCGCCTTCCGGCTCTTTGAAACAGAGGTTGTACTTAAGTCAGTCAAGCGATGTGCATTAAATGACGACAGAAGGAGACGATGTCCAAGCCGGCGTCCGACAATATTTGCGAGCTTTTGCAATGTTTAATTTCCGCCTTTTGTCTTCATCTGCAATGCAGCCTTTATCAAATTTTTATCAAATTAGAATCAGTGACTTGATATTGAAATATTTTATTCATATTTTAAAATTGAAATCTTTTTACTAGCGTGAAAAAGTTGCCAGTTTGCAAAATGAAAATAAGTTTCGAAAGCCATGATGAATATAATGATAATAATAGAGGATTTTTATCATGGAAATGTTTTAGATTTTCATTGGATTATCAATACGTGTCGAAGTAACTTAGACACCAGTGAGATTTAATTGACTCACCTACTGTTTAAGCAGCTCAGGCTTACTGGAAGTGGATCGGAGTCCACAGCTGGGATATGACCAGCCACAGTCTCCATCAACGGGTACCATTGCGCCACCGGTTTTCTTGGATTATCCAACATCTCCAGCCAGTGATCTCGGCCGATCCCAATGAAGCTCGATCCAATCGCCGTGCATCCCATTAACTCATTCGATCCAATTCTAACATATTGATTTCGTAGATATTTACTTTTTCATTCGAAAATTCTGCAAAATGTGCTCAAAATTTTCTCTCACCTGTCGTAATCAATTACTTTCACTATAAGACTGACATCCTCAACATTGTCAGCGGGAACATCGAAAACAAGCGCTTCATTGTAAACCGGATAAAGAGTGTTTTTCTTCACCGTCGTCTTCTTCTTCTTTATTCTTTTGCCTTGACACAGCAGATAAACTTTCACGTAAGGATCTGAGGAAAAAATAAAGTGAATTTAGTCAATATGTGAAGTACACTTTTTCGAATCGCAAAGATAAATTTAATAATATCTTTGGCGATAATATTACATCGATAACATCGTAAAGGAACGTTCGATTTATCTTGTCCGCACCTGATTTGCCCGTTATATCCATTGCCTTCAGATTTCTAGCTTTGATGACGGTTAACGTTAAGCGACGGGCCGTTGGCAGATAGCATAATGATAACATCAATTCTCCGAGATCTACTTTTTCCTGTGAAAATATTCGTATTGAAACGTCAGTGTTTATCTTATAACTGTTCTGCAATAACCGTTTATCTTGTTATAAAATAGGTACCTGTAAAGCGCAGAGGATGTCCATCGTATATTCAATTTCTTGCTCGAGGTCGGTACAATCTATGAGTCCTTTAAGGACCACTTGTCCAATAAGATCGTGACGCGAAAACCGATCGAAGTCGTAGACTGAGAATTGTAGATAGCGTTCCCTCAATTCTTCGTACGATACGCTGATAAAAGGAATATATCATATTTAGTTTTCTGTCAATTTTTTTATAGTGATTTAATTTCCTTATTCCGAACAATAAACCTTTGAAAACTAAATTCGACGAGTTTCGACGTTTGTAAATTGCCTTACCTAAAAATGAACGTTTCATTGAATATTGGATTTAAATTCTTCCTATGTACTTTTGTTTGAAATTTCTTCTTTCTGTCGGGCAACAGATACACTTTGACGTACGGATCACTGCTGCCTGTTACATCCTTTATTGGCAACTCGCGAGCTTCCAGAACCTAACATCAAAGAAGCAAACGTCGTCAGATTTAAAGGACGAGATTATACAAGAATGGGATAACGCAGAGATAATATTATGCTTTCACACAGATGGAAATTAGAATAACATAAAATGCTATTTTTATCTTGCACGTTCAAACTTGCAGTTAGTAACAAAAAAAAAGTCGTTATATAAAGTTAAAACATTAATTAAAAAAAAGTCATTAAAATTAATTAAAATATTAACCAAAAGAGTTAAAATTAATTAATACATTACATAATCTCACGTATTACGTGACCGGTGCAAAGCCTGGCTTTTATAAATAAATATATGGACGATAGTTTATATAAAAATATTATTGCGGTTTTATGTAATGCACGATGAAATGCGGCAAAGACCGATAACAGCACTGCATATTTAAATTTATCTGCTGTGACGCGTGGTCTACCGTACATAACTGATCTTAATGCACTTGAATTCACGTACAGAAATAGCTTAATGTAGCTGGCATTACCTAATCCATATTACACGGTAATGCCAGCACAGTGGAGGATGTGTCCATCAGAAATGCAATATTCTGTTACTTCATTATCGTTATCCAATATCTCACTTGCTGAATATAATCCGGATAGATATATATGTATATATATATATATATATATATATGTATATGTACATATATATATATATAGCTTACACAACGCAGTTAAAATACAAATTCGATCATTTTCGTGGATAATACGTTTTTAATTATTAGCTATTTTCCAGTTCGGCAAAAATTTCATAATGTTAGAACTGATAATTTATATTGTTTATATATATCATTTATTGTAATATTTTCTGTTTGCATTTTGTGATTCGAGAGAAAATAAATTCATGTTGTGTGATGTGTGTTCATATTATGCAACAATTTTCATGCTCAACACAATAATTATTATTTATAGAAATTGAAAATATTATTATACTTACTTTGACAACGAGTCCTTCGATTTCTTTATCATAGCGAAGAGCAAAATGCAGTTTTCCGGCATATTCCATTTCTGTTGTACTGGAGCTTTCCGCGCTTTCTTGCCTCACGAGCTCTTTTTTATATAATTCCGGCTGCAAGGTTTATTATTTACAGTAATATTATATATTTCAAAAATTAAGATAAATAAAAATAAAGCTTGAAATTGTGATTCCAATTATTTATACGTTCACATGCTATCGATTAAATATCACGGAATAAAAATGAGAGACGAAAAACAGAGAGATGTTTATAGGATTCTACATGTTATATGATAAGCTTATTTCAAAATCAAATGACATCGCGTGCATGTATTTGCATTTGAATATCCATTATCATATTAAGATGCAGATATCTGCATCTCATCGTACAGATAAATACCTTAATAAGACCAAGACTAGAGTCGCTGCGATTCTCGAAACTGCAAATACTGAATTTAATGTTGGGTAGATCAAGTCGGTGCGATAACTGGCGTTGGAAACTTTGATGTCTCATCGGTACGATGGGTAAAGTGGTTTGACGCAATACCTGGCGAAATATCAAAGATTGAGGTAATTACAAAATTTTACAAAAAAAAAAGAAAAAAATGCCTTTGATTCTGCCAGCAATACCTTCTTATTATCCTTCTGTTCTTGAACATATTCGTGAGTAATCGGTTCCGATTGGAGATCCGGAAGAGAGTGACTAATGCGAATCGCGTTTTGCTGAGTCTGATCGGACTCGGTATTCTCTACATTCTCGTGCCGAGTCATGCTCATCAGCCATCGCCAAGTGGAAGAGCATTGGAAGCTCACCGCAGCCAGGAGGACTAGGCCAACCAAGGCCACTCCTGCTCCTATTAGAAGCTGATAGGGAAAGTTCTCGCTCCATTCCTCTGTAAAATGGAGCGCTTGTTACCGGCGATTCGTCGCGGACGAATAAACATCGGTGAAATTGCATATAAAATATAAATGCGACGTCAATATAAAAATATTATACAATAAAAAATTTGTAAGACATAACCACGCGATGAGGATTTTTCATATATTTTTAGCTCGCTTCTCGAAACTTACGAAAAGCCTTTTAAACATTTCGCAAAATGTTACGCTGCGTAGGTAGACCGTACAACGCGGTGAAAGGATCGAATAAAATATTTATTCGTGCAGTCGTACATACTGCAAAACATTACGTTCATGTAATTTTAGTAACAAGATAATTAGAATCATATTACGTAAGCTGCTAATTGCGTCGAGGATCATAAAACTCCAAACCGCTACTCGCGAGATAGATGGAGCATCCGTTATTAAAGAAAAAGAAAAAACAAAACTTCCGTATGACGTTCGGGTTTACGTAGTAAAAAGAAAAGGATGGAAAATGAGAAAGACCCTTTAAGTAAATTGCGCGCGTATGTCTGCGGGGAATACACCATTGTGTACATCCTACGACAAAGAGAAAGGTATCCTTGGCGCGAAGAGAGGTATACCGACGCTTCGTGGTTGAACGAGCTTTCCGTTCTCGTTTACGTCGAGAACAATGTGGTGTCCTGCTAATGATAGAAATATCTTTGCTTTTGCTTCAACGTGAAACAAGTCACCAGATACATGTATACGTACATATATATATATATACAATATATAATATATCATATGCGTACATACGTAATCTATATAATTAGAATCATAATATGTAAGATGTTAATGCCGTTGGATATTATAAAACCGCGGCTCGTGAAATAAATAGAGTATTCGCCATAAAAGAAAAAGTAAAATTCCGCACAGTGTATTTCCCTTTGACATACTTCGTGCAACTTTCAACTTTGCGATCTAATCAAGTTCAGAGATAAAAACTCAATTTACGTTAAAAACATTGCTTTAGCTACACGCCAATAATCGTTTATATATTTAACTTGCTTTTTGCTTTTTGCTTTCAAAAGATAAATTTTTACGTGGATTTTATTTTTACCTTTTTTTTTAAAATAAAATAAAAAATAGTTTTTAAATACTTTAATTTATAAAAGTTGAACGTATATTTTCACATTTGCTTATTGACTAAAATATTAGTAACAAAAATTATTTTGCAAGATTGACTGTCGTTTAGTTATTAGAAATATCTCTATATGTGTGTCTACATATTGGAAGTAATCGGGAATCCATGTGCGTTTGGTCGTACAGAACCATTGATTGATTAAATGGCGCGTGTACGCGTTGCACACATCACAACCTTTTTCCTCTTGCTATCTTTGTGTGCGCGTATCATCGTTGTTTAAAAAATGAAATGGGGCGTAGTGTATCTTTTATCTTTTAAAACAATGAAACAAAATCGACAAACAAAACCGTGTGCGGAGTTTTTTGTTTGTTGCCACTTGCAACGGATATGAAATGGAGTCACATGAACAAGGCCGCGCGTAGCTTTATTGTTACATTGTAAAGTTTTCACTTGTTATTACGATAACCGATGTCTCGTGTCAAGTTAACTTTGCATGCCTTGCGCTATATTCAACCATACCCAAGTGAAATCGCATTGCGTTTCAACACAGCAGCTTTTTCATAAATAAGAACATTTATTATGAGAAGCATGAAATATGCTCTTAAAATCTTAGCAGCGACGCAAATTCGTAATAGACGGAAATATTGCAAGGAAATTTTAATTTTTGTAATTCAGTTTCAAACTTCTGATCTGCAATCTGATCTATTCGGCCCCTTTTTTCGCGCTATTTCGACAAACCATGTCCAAAAAATGTCTAATTTTTATTTTATTCGTTCATTCTTTTGATAATTATATCTCTTTCGAACATGATACGATAGAAAGGAAGATTGAGAATGCTTTTAACGGTATTGAAAACAAATGTCATCGTAAGTTAGCGTTGTCCAGCGCATTGTGCGTATTTACGCTGTGAGTTCATACTCGCGTGACCAATTCATGAAGTTTGCAGCGCGGATACGATTTACGAGATTTACTTCTGCGCTATACCGGGACACAGCGGACACATACGGTAAAGTGATTGATGAGCTTTATAGTAAATTATGGGGTTACTGCCACCGCACGATGTCTGATGTTTGTCTCGCGATGGCCAGATAATAACTGAGTTTTGTTTCCTGAACTTTCGCGAGCCTTTTCTCCATGTGTAAATAAATCACTTTGATACTTCGTAATTCTCAATCATGTTTTATGTAGAAATAAAAATTTAAATTATAAAATAAATCATAAAATGTTACAGTTATTTTTTGATCCGAAATACGCTCCGATAAATTCTGTAAAACATTTTGTACGACAATTAATAAATCAAAACCAATATGTTTCATTATATTGTCGTTATTACAACATAATTAACAAATAGACATTGAAAATGGATAACTAACCATATTTAAACAGATTGCCGTCAATTGTTTCAGATAATTATTAAATTTATCGCGTATATTATTACGCAATCAAAAATTGAAATACTGATATTATTTCAACATTGATATATCCACTATCAATGTGATCGGAAATTCGATTTCGAAACATAATAGCACTTGAAAGAGCAATAACTGAAAACAATTGATCTTATTTCTCCAATCTCTTCTATTAATCGAGTTTCCATCTGCACAGGGCGATATATGCACTTGTCATCTTGTCAAAACCAAGCCAATAAACTTTTGCATTTATTGAGTTTTTTTCATCTTTTGTGCGACATGCTCGTTACCCCTGACCTCTGACGTTGCACGATATGAAAGTCCGAACAGAATGCTTTGCGTGCCATGTTAAAGTGCTTGCAAGGCTAACGTTGATCTTATAAAGCTAACATGGAATTTATGTACATCCTCTGGTTATGTGACCTACCTGGGATTCTGTGATAAAGTAAATGACGTTAGATAATTCGGAAGACATCTCGAGATTCTATTTGTTAGTCAATCAATTAGAATAGATTTGTCCGTAATGCAATATTAACAGCATATGGAATATTCTATATAAGAAACAGCATTACTATGTATACTGTACGGCCGCGGAAAACATCCCTTTCAAGATATTTTGACGTATACGACGGCCTTGACCGTTTTTCTCCCTCATTTTGATACTGTTGCTTTCAAGCTAACCCTCCGTATCTTCCCCTTCCTTTTTTCGGCTAAAAATTTCTCGCTTTTCAGACGCTTTGCTTTTAGAATTTTGCGTCGATACTGGTTCCTGTCATCATCATTTCTATTTTACACATATGAATGTTGATACAATATTGTTTATTCATATCAAAATTGACTTTATTTATTTATCGAAGTTGTTTGTTTATTTGTCATTTGCGTAAACAATTTGCAACTCGAGTATTGCAAACAGAATTCTATTTACCTCTCAATCGGAAAAAATAGATATTTAAAATATACATTAGAATATACACAGAGTAAACAGAACAAAGAAAAAGTTTCCCATCTGTTTATTTTGTAATCGACCGATTTATACGAAAAATGTTGAAACAAGTCAACAAAAATAGATTTTATTTTCAAAGAAAATGTATATGACTCTCTGTGATAAATTCAACCCTGTGTTTATTTCTATCATTTTTTTTTATTTCTTTGATTTCATCCCCGCAAGTTAGTTATAAAGTAAATGGGCTAAAAAGTTTTCCTTGACCCATCCTGTACATACGACAAGGTATAAAATTACAAAATTATAAGTTGAATTTTATTCTAAATTTATGAATTATAAATGATCTATGAAATGCGTCTTGTTGGGTGGCTCAAGTTCTTTCTTAGGCGGCAGATATTTCTTGTGCCGACTGCGTGTAAATTCAACTCTCATGAATAACTCCCCGCAGGGGAGTTGTGCCAGAATTGAAAATACATGTATATATCACAGGCTCATAACAGGGGATTGACAATCCGTACGTTTCCTTTGTGTATCTCTTCTACAATCCTAATCCTCAAACATTACCGTCATGCCATATTCATTAGCCCCGTTACTGACAATAGTAGTGTTTGACCTGATTTAATGTACCTTGAATTTAATAGTCACGTATTTATTGACATTGATTAATCTCTTCTCATTGTCAATGTAGATATGTCAAATACTAGATATGTCAAATAATGTTTACAGTGTTCCAGATTGTTCCTCTATCTGTATTTTACAATTTTAATCGAAATTTTACAACCAAGGGAAATGCGAAAACCGGCAGTATTATTGTAAATTAACAAATGTTTTTATTTTTACATTAATAATATTTAACTAGGTCGAGTGCAATAGCGCGAGTGCAATATTTTTTAACGCACCGTTCATAAAGCACTGCTAAAATTCGAAGCGTTTTATATATTTTATATTAATATTATTATATATTACTCTTACTATCTATTTTTTATTATCATATTTTTATCGGATTGAAGTTGTAACCAAAAATCTGGATATATCGAAAGCAAAACGTATCTCGCACCTCACATAATCTTGCGTATCAAAATATCGTATGTTTATGACATAATAGTAACGTGCCATATGTATTTGGCAAGGATGAATATCAAACGAAATATATCAATAACTGAACCAGCAACTGTTGCAGACGCTTTGGACGATCTATTCGGTTTCGAAGCGGCTCGAAAACGACAAAGAAACCGTGACTTGACAAGTGGAAATGTGAAACTGTATTTTAAACCGTGGCGTGTTTTTATCAATTATATTGACAGTTATCATGGAAAAATATTAATTGACGTACGTATCGTTTCAATCAAAATTTATTTTTACAAATATTTTACAATTTAAGTTACTTTAGTATTTCTAGAAAAAAAAAACAATTATTACTAAGGATAAATTATTTGACAAAGGAATGAAAAACAATGCTTAAAGAATTAAAGCATGGTTTTAGTAATTTTGAAGTATTCAATGATACTATTCAAAGGTAGAATGCATTCTTTTCATTTTAAATCAAGCAGACTCTTC